AGATAATTTACTGAGTACGAAAAGGGCAAGATGAGAATGAAGAGCCAAGCTGTGAAGCCAGTGTAGCTCTGAATCTCAGAGTTAGTATTCAGAGTGCTGCAAAATTGGAAATAGGAAGCCTGTAGCCATGGAAAATTATCTAGGCTTTTTGGTTTATTCCTAGAGCCACAGGGAATAGGCTGAGGGTCCATTGGAGAGAAATAAGGAAAGAGAGAGAAGCAGGATAGTGTGGCAGTAGAGGGATAGTCAGGAAGATTAAAATTGAGAAAGGGCCTGTGGGTCTTGTGAACAGGAGTTATTAGTCTTTACAAGATGTTTTCCATAGAATGCTGTGATAGGAATCGAAATTGCTATAGGAAAAAAAATCAATGGATGATAGAGATAAAATATCCACTATAGCCTTCTCTTTCCAAGAGGTTGGTGAGAGAGAAGCTAACAGGGTTTCTGACTTCGCATGTAATTGCTGGGATTGCTTGTGAGATAAAGTCAATGACAGGTGCTATAGAAAATGCAGGATCAAAGATGAGAAGGTAAGGGGACAGGAAGCTAGATTAATGGAATTGGAACAACCAGAACAGAAATAATGAGACTGTTCATGAATTGTGAAGAATATAACCAATGTCACTGAACAATGTGGCAGAAATTGTTCAACTAGAACCTAAACTACTGTGTAAACCTTCACCAAAAAACACAATAAAATATTATTATTTTTTTAAAAGATTGAATACTTAGAAATAAACTAACCAGACATACGACTTATACAAAGGAAACTACAGAATGCTAAGAAAGCAAAAGAGACCTATGTAAATGGACGAAAATACCATGCTCATGGATAGGAAGACTTAAGATTGTGAAAATATCAGTACTACCCAAAACAATCTACAGATATGATGCAATCCCAATCCAGATTCCATCATCATTCTTTAAAGAGATGGAAAAACTAATCACCAGCTTTATATGGAAAGGAAAGGACCCCAGATAAGCAAAGGAAATAATAAGTCTTCATATTTTCCAATCTCAAAACTTGCTGTACAGCCACAGTAGTCAGAGCAGCCTGGTAGTAGTACAATGATAGACGTGTAGGACAATGGAACATAATTGAGAATCCAGAAGGAAAGCTATCCACCTGTAGACAGCTGCTGATCTTTGACAAAAGTCTAAAATCCATTAGATGGAGAAGAGAGAATCTCTTTAGTAAATGGTGCTGGCAAAACTGGATATCCATTTTCAGAAAAATGAAACAATCCATACATCACACCATTTACAAAAACTAACTGAACATGCATCAAAGACCTAAACGTAAAACCTAAAACTTGGAAAGATCATCAAAGGAAAAATAGGTGCAAACTTAGAGGCCTAATTTATAGCATAAATAGTCTATCAAACATAACAAAAAATGCACAAACAGAAGATAAAATAGAGGATGGGGACCTCCTGAAAAGTAAACATGTGTGCACATCAAAAGACTTCTCCAAAATAGGAAAAAGAGAACGTACAGACTAGTAAGATTTTTGGCAACAAAACTGGACAGGGGACTATCTTTAAAATTTATAGAAAACTTCAACACCTCAACAACTAAAAGACAAACAATCAAATTAAAAAATGGTCAAGGGACACTCACCAAAGAAAACATACAGGCAGCCAACAAACACATGAAGAAATGCTTGCTATCATAAGTCATTCCAAACTTACTGCCTTCAAGTCAGTTCCAACTCCGTGACCCTATGGGACAGAGTAGAACTTCCCCATAGGATTTCAAAGGCTGTAAATCTTTATGAAAGCAGACTGCCTCATCTTTCTCCCATGGAGCAGCTGGTAGGTTTGAACTCCCACCCTTTTGGTTAGAAGCTCAGTGCTTTAACAAACACAGTACCACCAGAGTTCCTTCATTAGCCATTAGCAAGATGCAAGTCAAAGCAATGGTGAGATATCACCTCACCCCAGCAATAACAGCAAAGTTAAAACAGAACAACAAATACTGGTGAGGGTTTGGAGAGAGTAGAACCCCCGTACACAACTAATAGGACTGTAGAATTGTACATCTACTGTGGAAAATGGTATATGCTTTCTTAAAAAGTTGGAAATAGGAATACCATATGATCCAGGAATCCTACTACTAGGTGTATATCCTAGAGAAATAAGAGCTGTGACCCAAACAAATAGACACACATCTGTGTTCTTCATGGCATTATTCACAGTAGCAAAAAGATGAAAACAGTGTAAGTGCTCAACAGTGGATGAAAATGGATAAATGAACTGGTATGTATGCATGGTACATACACACAGTGGAACACTACACAATGTTAATAATGAAGAATCTGAAACATCTCATAAAATAGATGAACCTGATTAAAATAAGTTAATCACAAAAGGACAAATATTGTATGAGACCAGTATTATAAAAAGTCAGGAAAAGGTTTACACACAGAAAGAAGCATTCTTTGTTAGTTACTGGGGTGGAAGGGGAAGGCAGGATAACTAAAGAGCAGTAGTGTATTAACTTTAGTGAAGGAAAAGGCAATATACAATAAGAAGGAGGTCAGTACAGAATGACCAAAGCAAAGGAAGATACTGGTAGGTGCCCGAGAATGAAAGACAATAAAGGTAAATACTATACATACCAATCTTGCAATAATCTCTGGTTAGATACATAGGTGGACATACAAGCTGAACAGTATATATAGATTTGGCAAAGGATATTTCTACAAATATATATTTGTTCTGTTTATACCTAGTGCTGCTCTGACAAGAATATACCACAAATGGGATGGGCTTAACAAGCAGGAGTTTATTGTCATAATTTGGAGGCTTTAAGTCTGAGTTCAAAGTGCCAAGCTCTAGGGGCTGGGTGAAAGCCCTTCAACCTTGGGCTTCAGCTCCGCTTCTTGCTCCTGGCCTACTGAAGCTGGAGGCTTTTGTTCACTCAGCTGCTGGCTGCTGAGGCTGACAAGCCCAAGGTTGACAAGTAAAAAGGCATAGTCCCCATGTTACCAAACCACATGACAGGCCATTAATTCAAGTCCAATGAAAGTCCCAAGATTGGCAGAGCACGGCAGGCTGCTAAACAACGACTTGGCTACATGCAGGGTTCAAGCGTGCCATAAGCTAGAGAGCATTCCCAAAGCTGTTTCTTATATATGGGAAGCAGACACATACCCAAAGCAGCTACTCAGCTGCTCATGGCAGATTCCACCATGGAGTTGATTGCCAGTCTCATCGTGGGGAATAACTATCCCCAGGTGCCCAGCCATTCAACCACACCTAGCCAAGTTGACATCCTTAACTACCACAATATTAGTATGTGCTACAAGTATATCCAAGGATATACTAGAACATACAAAGGCAAAGTTTTGAAAACTTGTTAGCCATAACCAAACACCTTGAGGAAATGAGTCACTGGGCTTGGAAACCTAGGACCACAGTCTCAGGGGAGATATAGGCCAAGTGGCGTAATATAGTTCACAGAGACAGTGCTCTACATCCAGCTTCGGTGAGTAGCAACTGATGTCTTATTAGCAATAATTGTCTTATTGCTTAAGAGCTTGCAAGCAGCCATCTAAGATGTAATTATTTGTCTTTCCTCGGGGTCACTATGAGTTGGGGCTGACTCGACAGCACATAACAACAACAACATCTGGAGCAAAGAAGAGTGATGAAAATCTAAGACTCGATGAAATAATTAGTCCAGTGGACTAATGGAACACATGAACCATAGCTGTCACTACTCTAAAACCAGAAGAAGTAGATGATGCCTGGCTACCAGTACTCACCGCTCTGATTAGGATCACCACAGAAGGTCCTGGACAGAGAGGGAGAAAACAAAAGTAGAAAAAAGTTCAGACTTACTGGTCTGAGACTGGAGGAACCCCAGAGACTGTGGCCCTTAGACACCCTTCAGGCCTGGAACTGAACCCACTCCTGGGGGTCAACTTTCAGCTAAAGAGTAGACAAGCATATAAAGTGAATATCACACCAGGGAAGAACATACTCCTTGGTACAGTCCACCATGCAAGACCAAAAGGTCAGCATTTTCCCAAAAACAAAGCTCAGAAGGCAGGAAGGGGCAGGAAAGAAGGATGACTGGAAATGCAGAACCCAGGGAGTAAATGGGAAGAGTGGAAGAGTGCTGTGTTACATTGAAGGGATGGCAACCAATACCGTGAAGCAAAATGTGTATATGTTACTGAATGGAAAACTGATTTGCTTTGTAAACTTTCACTATCCACAATTAAAAAGTTAAAAAACAAAATAAGATTCCATAGAAGAATCCTGATCAAAAAGGAGAAAATGCAGAATTTTGAAATCTAATATAATCTAAACTTTCTAGAGCCGTGGAGGGTAGATGAAGCCCTGAAACTACTGGCCTGAGATAATCTTTAAACCTTAAACCAAGTATATTCCCCCGAAGTCTTCTTAAAACCAAATAATAGTTTAGCATAATTAGTAAAAAAAAATAAAAAAATCTGGCTTGATCATTATGCTGTCTTAAGAACTGTCTATAGGAATATAATTGGTGACAGCTCAAAAGATTAGGGGGCAGCAAGTTTGTATTAATGATGGAGAAACAACTCAGAAAAGGAAGCTGAGAATGGTTTTACAACTTGAATGTAATCAGTGTTACTAAAGTGTACGTGGGGTAACTATTGAACTGGTGTATATTTTGCTTGTATATTCTCACCACCAACAAAATAAATAAAATTTAGAAAAAAATGCAGGAAGTTACTGTTATCCTTAAAAAAAAAATAGGCTCATACTTTTTTTTTTTTGTTATGAAGTATTATCAGAGTCAACAGTTCTGGTCGTCATTTGTCACCTCTCTGCTTACCTAGCATCCAACTATTAAAGGCCCTGGTTGATACCATCTGTTATGGGGATAGAAAAGGCTATCTGTCAAGGAAGGAATGCGTCCGGGATCATTAAGCAACTTAGCAAATCCCTGCTATGCAAGTATTTGTTTTCATGAGAACTAACTGGACTTCTTTCTCTTTTCTCTGTTCAAGTTGAGTGAGATTCTCAAATTTGGTTTGGATAAGCTTCTGTCCTCGGAGGGGAGCACCATTGATGAAATAGATCTGGAGTCTATCCTGGGAGAAACACAAGATGGCCAGTGGATCTCTGATGCCTTGCCTACAGCAGAAGAAGGAAGCACAGAGCAAGAGGAAGGAAGTAAGTGGAGGATGAGAGCAGAGCTAATGGCATAGCCACCCAGGCTAGAACATGAGTGGGCTGAGTCCCTGTGGCAAGTCTCAGATACTGCTCCCTGGGACATATGTTTTCTACCAAATCCTGTTGAACACACTGCTTATGATTTGCCTGGTCTAAAAACTCTCCCAGACTACTTGACTGCTAACTGGAAGGTCAGCGGTTCAAACCTACCAGCCACTCTACAGAAGGAAGACTGGGCAATCTGCTTCCATAAAGATTTACAGTCTCGGAAACCCAGGGGGGTCACTGTGAGTCGGAAACAACTTTGGTTTTTTTGAGAGTCCCTTGTAGCTTTCAGCCATATTGATTCCATGAATATAGTAGTATTCATTGATTCGTGAGTATAGTAGTAGCAATTTCATGGATTTTAATTTGAAATTTTCCATTGGTTGCAAGAATCTTTATCTGTATTAGTAAACCCTGCTCTACTGTAGGAGCTCTGGTAGTGTAGTGCCTAAGGCACCTGACTGCTAACCAGAAGGCTGGCGGTTCAAACCCACCAGCCACTCCTTGGAAGGAAGATTGGGCAATCTACTTCCGTAGTGATACCG